TCACAAATAATATTCAAATAATATTTTTGTTACATTTCTCCAAATTAAAACCTGGCAATATTTGGATGGTCCTCAGAGTCACGTTAGCTGCCCCTCTATCTCCAGATGGCAGCGGACCCTGGGATGGCGGTGGCAAAGAAACTCATGCTACTGACTTGGAAGTCAACTACCCAACCAGGTTTGGTGTACTGGCTCAACAAGATGCTGTCTGTTCTACAACTGGAAAAGCTCAGACTAAATAAACTTGGCACTCAAAACTAATCTGGGACGATGTGGGGGCCTTTTTTGGCCCAGTGTAACATCAATCTGCATTTATAAGAACATTTTATGTCAACACATTTTATGACAACTTTTTCTGTAAAGTTATTTGCCAATTCATTTTTTTACCTGAGGGTTCCTACATTAAGTATGACTACTATTGGGAAGAATATCCTTTGTTTCTGTACCTTCTCTTCTTTTTTGAGTCTCTAATGTCTCAACATGGTTGTCTGTTTTTTGTGTGGAATATTTTTTTAATTATTTATTTATTTATATTCTGTACTAAAACCGCTAAATAAAATATTTTAAAAAATAGATGCACCAAACTTTGTTAAATGATCCGACATGTTAACTGCAGGGCTACAGCTTCTGCACCATCTACGGCAGCACCAGCAACAAGAGAGAGGAAGAGACGGAGGAGTGTGAAACTAAGGGGTGGAGAGATGTATTTAGGAAGTGACAGATTCAAGGATCTGTAGCTTTGAGTCATGATATGTTGCACTGCGGTCCAAGAACGAACCTAACAACAACCAACCTGAATTTTTACGGTTTTTTTTGTTTTTTTTTTGCCATTATTTTTAACAGAGCGACCATGGGTCAGACGCTCGACACCTTATACGGCAAACGTTATCCAGTGTCAGGTGTTGCTCCGGTGTTCGTCACCGCGACAGATGTCTCTCGGCTGTATCCAGACAGAGCGGCGATGGCCCCGGCTCACAGGTAACACTCTGCGTGGTTTACTGACTGATGTGTGTGCGAGCTGCTGGTCTGATTTCACTGCTAACGATTCTTATGTTTGGACTTCTATTGTTGCAAATTGCGCGATGTGATCATTCAGTGTCACAGTCTGACATCGCAGTGATACTGAAACACGAAGCCGCGGATCAAAAAGTTTATATTAAGAAGAAACACGAAACGTGTGCAAGTATCCGAAATTTGCGCAACACTGCCGCGAACACACTATTTTATCTTCAGGTGGATTTTCTTTTTCGAAGTGAAACCGTTAAGTGTTCATTCTGATCTGTT